TGAATGAGCCAGTTAGCCAACCTGGCACCCTGAAGGTTCAAAGTTTGATCTCCCTGGTGGTATCATGTGTTGTACATACTTGTACAAATTGCCAAACTAAGATGAAACAGCTATCCTATCCTTCTTGGTTATTAGAGATGCCCTAATTGATACCAATTCGCAATGAAATCCCTGCTGAATATTCGCCGCAATGTTTACACAATTACTTGTAAATACTAACAGTGAACGCATTCTTGTACATTTTCGCTGTAACAATGTGGCATAAAGTTTATCAGTGTAATTGTCTTTCTTCTGTCATATTTCTCCGCACCCCACCTCCCCAGCCTACTTGCCCTAGTTTTGGTGTTTCGCTTTTTTCAACTTTTCATGTGAAAAAGAAAGGCAGCTTCGTTTGATTTATTAAATAATTATTTCGCATTTTCTCACACATTAATCCATCCATACTACTATTTTTACTATTACTACTTTTATTTTATTATTTTGAAGAGTTTTGTGGGAATTTAATAAATTAACCATCGGGAAATTATAGAACTAGATTTTGCACTTGAAGACTTCAAGGAAGTATAAGGGAAGAGAGAGGTAATGAAGGTAACCGACCAAAACCACCACGACTGTGGTGAGAGCTGTCCGCTAGCCAAAAAATTGGCAGACAGTCATTTACGTCAATGTTTACCTCCACAATGTTGGTCATGAGAAAAGAACAAGAACAAGGACTAACTCAACAACCAATCACAGCAGACTTTGCGTAGGCGGATACAATATGCAGACAGATGATTTGACCTTCAAGAAACGGCCACAAAGAGATGAAAGATTAACTTTCAGTGAGAAACAACCAATCAGAAGACAGTGTTTTTCTGCTAACAATATTCTATAATAATGTACATGAAAATCTATAAATATGTGTTGATTTCCTTAATAAACGATCTGTTTCCTGGCCCTTGTCTTCTGCTGTTACACCACCACTAACAGAAATAAAGACAAGCCACTGTCAAAAAGAGAAATCTGAAGGACTTCACTTCTTTAACTTTTCGAGGCAGCATCGTTTCAACTACAAGCAAACAGAACAGAGGAAAATGTCAAAAGCAGAATTGGAAAGGCAAGGCAAACCTTCATCACTGTGAAGTCAGTTTGGAAATCTTCTGCAAATCATAACCAACATGAAGAACATGATTAGGATTTTCAACATATGATTCAGAAACTTGGATCTTTACGAAAAGCATTTCCACTTTCATCAACAGGTCCCTGCTTCACTGGCTCCACCATACTGAAGATCAAATGGCCAGCCATAAAGAATTAGCAACAACCAACTCTGAGAACAAACCACTCAAGAACACTTTGCCCAACAAATATGCAGAAAAAGAAAGTGGAAATAGATGGCATATACTCTGAGGAGACCATCAAATGACATTCCATGCCGGCCAGGCAATCTTTCCAGTGAAACCCGAATAAGAAACGATGGGTCGGTCGTGTGTCTGAGGATGACAGGGAGGAGATCGTAAGAGGAAAAGATGACAGCCAGCTAGAGGGGACCTCAGAGATTCAGACAAAGTGGATATGGGCTGTTGATGCACTGTGTTTCACCAGGAACTAAAAGGAACAATAATTCGACAAGGTTTCACACTTGATGGCAAGCATCAAGTATATATATGTAACTTTAATGAAATCCTATTTCCACCAAAAAGTAAATTTATGCAATTTAAGCTTAAAGTACTTAATTCTTTTCCTCGCGTTGCGAGTTGAACATAAGGCTTCAAGTAGCGCTGATGTTATTTGACGAGGTGGGTTGCCAGCCTCATTCCCAACCTCCTCCCTACATCAGGCTTACTACTGGCTACGTGATGCTTAGAAGACGGTCGGCTAGGAATCGAACTCCAGACCACGTGAGTTGTGGTTCGCGAGTATTCCATCAATGAACCACTGACATTTAATTCCATATTAAGTAGGTTTATTTGATATAACTGACAGTGCAATACATTGAACTGATAATTGAGTGAGGTTTCGAGAACACTTGTTTGCTTGTTGTCATATCCCTGTATTTATACAACCTTACCACTCACTTAAAATCTCTATACATCCAGGATAGGTGGTAATCAGTTTAAAACTCCACCACCGTGTGTTATATGAAATTTTGATTTTCCCGTCGACAAACTGGACGGGATCATTTGGCCTACATAGACATGTTAACACTCAATGCAGACGTCTCAACGACGTCTGAGGATTATCTTGAAGTAGTAGAGACAGGACAAACCGTGGCTCACTACGGACACTTGGAGGCTAATAGAGGAGAGAAGGATGGTGAAACAAAAAATTCTGCAGTGCACCGACGAGCAACAGAAACAGGAGTTGAATGTAAGCTACAACACACTGAACAAAGGAGTAAAGAAGAGTGCCAGAGAAGACAAAAGAAAGTATTATGAAGCCATGGCCAATGAAGCAGAACAAGCTGCAGGCAAAGGAGACCTCGCAACACTTCACCAAACAACTAGGTACCTTTCAGGCAAAAATTCGTCACAAATTAAGCCAGTGAAGGATGAAAATGGAAAGTCAATCACCAAAGAAGTGGAGCAAAGGAAACACTGGGCTGAACACTTCAAAAGACTACTAAACCGACCGCCACCTACAACGCACCCAACAATACCAACAACGGAAGCAGAATTACCAGTGAACATCAACCCCCCGACGAAATCAGAAGTCCTGAAGGCAATCAAGATGCTGAAAGCTGGGAAAGCAGCAGGACCAGATGGAATCCCAGCAGAAGCATTGAAAGTCGACCCAGAGACAACAGCAGACCTGATGACGCCACTACTGGAGAAGGTGTGGAAAGAAGGCAAAGTACCCGAGGATTGGAAGAAAGGATACCTATTCAAACTACCAAAGAAAGGAGACCTAAGTCAATGCAAGAACTGGCGCGGAATTATGCTCCTTTCCATCCCAAGCAAAATACTAAGCCGCATCATCCTGGAAAGGATCAAACAAGCCTTGGATGAAAAACTTCGACCAGAACAAGCTGGATTCAGGAGTAACAAGTCATGTATTGATCAAATCGCCACACTACGGATCATCATTGAACAAAGTTTGGAATGGCAGTCACCTCTCTATCTCAACTTCATCGACTTTGAAAAGGCCTTCGACAGCGTCGATCGAGAGGTGATTTGGCAACTACTTCGCTACTACGGGGTGCCGCCGACAATTATACATCTCATCCAACAGTTGTATGACAACGCTGCATGCCAAGTAATCCACAACGGGAAGCTCACGGAATCCTTCGAAGTGAAGACAGGAGTAAGACAGGGTTGCCTACTATCGCCAATAATTTTCCTGATTGCAGTAGACTGGATAATGCGACAAACAGCGGGCAATGATGAAACAGGCATAAAATGGACTCACACAAAGAACTTGGAGGATCTGGACTTCGCCGATGATATATGCCTGATTTCCCACAAACTGGAAGATATGCAAGTGAAAAGTAACAAGTTGGCAGAAGAAGCATCAAAGATAGGACTCCAGGTGAACATAGAAAAAACAGAGGTGATGAAGATCCCTGGCCAACACCAACAACAACAACAGACAGCAATCAGCATAAATGGAAAAAACCTGAAAGAAACTACCTCCTTTACCTACTTGGGAAGCATTGTTTCAACTACAGGCGGAACTGACGAGGATATCAAAGCAAGGATCGGGAAAGCAAGGCAAGCTTTCATTACTCTCAAGTCTGTGTGAAGGTCAACAGCACTCAGCATCACAAATAACATCCGGATTTTCAACTCCAATGTGAAGTCAGTACTACTATACGGATCAGAGACTTGGCGTGTCACAAAGAGCACCTCAAACAAGCTACAGACCTTCATTAACAGATGTCTTCGCTCAATACTCAAGATCAGATGGCCGGAAAGGATCAGCAACAAAGATCTCTGGGAGCGAACCAACCAGGAACCCATTGTGAAACAAATAGGCAGGAAAAAATGGAGATGGATTGGCCACACTCTGAGGAAACCAGCAAGTGACATCACTAGACAAGCCATTGCTCGAGTGGAACCCGAAAGGGAAGCGACGAGTTGGTCGTCCAAGGGTGACCTGGAGGAGATCATGTGAAGAGGAGATGAAAGCATGTGGGCAGACCTGGAGCCAGGTGAAAACTCTAGCAGAGAATCAAACGCAATGGAGACGCATGGCTGAAGCCCTATGTTCCTCTAGGAACTAAAGGAAATAATAATAATAATAAAGTTTGATGCATGTTATTCAGCAGTTGAATCCAAAATGTTCATTTCGTTCTATTTTCGACACATCATCCGGATGTAACTGCATCCTCATTGAGTGGTAAATGTTGTTCTCACTCAGAAACTTGAACGGTTGTCCACTAGACTAGTTAGACCTTGGAGAAATCACAGTTGATCTGAAAACAAATAAAACCTGATGCATGTTGCACAGAAGGTGGTGGATGTTGTGGACCAAGCGGTCCAGTGGAAACCATGGGTAGTGAGTTCGAGTCTTTATGGGGACACCATCACACAGAGGAGATGTAGGTTTTTCCTGGTGACGAATCCCAAGTGGGACGAAATGTGCGTCCATCAAACGACTTTATGCAATGTGGAATTAAAAGAAACATTACTCTAACAAGGCTTTAATAGCACTCAACCAATGTCAAGATTGATATTACCCTGGAGTGATAGAATTCAGTTAGCACACATAAACAGACAATATAAGAATGATTATTGTTGAGAGATAGATCAGATTATTCATTAAAGATCTGCAGGAGGTCGTTAGACACCTGCATAACCTACTAGTAACTTCCAGCAACTTGAATTTGAGTCTATGAATGGAAATCACTGCTTACTGCCAAGTATCAATAAGCACTACAAAAAGAAACAGCCTAGATCCATGGCTTTCCATGGATCGTCTTCAATTATCTAACCCTTAATTCTTTATACTAGTACTGCAATGTTAGGTGAATACATTTAAAATTAACATTTTTGTTTCAAATGGAAGAAGAAGATGTTTACCTTTAGTAACAGGAAATTGATAGTGCATTTCTTCTTCAGCTCCTAAAAAATAAACACAGAAATTACCAAAAAAAGGTTATATAGATGCATATTATTTTATGTTTAAAAAACATTACGTAAGTTATCTATGGTTTCTGGTGTTATTCTGGAAGTGAGTTATTGATACATTTTGTATAAGGAGAAAACTTAGGCACCACTGTGGTGGTAGAGTATAACTCCATTATGGATAAAATTTTATTTTAATAAAGTCTCGTACAGTGGTGTTACACAGTAATATTTAGTGATGATAACCACATTTCGAGCACAGTTTATTACTGCAGCTCATAATCATCATATCAAGGCACCCACTTACACAACTTTCTTGCCTCACTTATATACATGAGTAAAAATTGATGATTAGACACTTGAATAAAATCAATATAAGATGAGAAAGTACATTCGGAAATGATGATTTTAGTGCTATTAATAAAGCACAATCAGATGGGAAATAAGATGTTTTAATAGTAAAATAAATAAATAACTCGTTAGAATGTTCTAATGTGAATTGAACTGAATACATTTTAACATTATTTATCATCCTCCCTTGATTTGACTGGTGGTAATAATATCTTCCATACCCATCTCTGGTATTTGCGTTGAGACACTTCTATTCCATGTGTTGAGTGTAGATAGACTAGAACCAGGATTCAATAATCAAACTGTCTGTCTCTCCACCTACCTATATTACTTCGTAGAATTTCAACTCTGTCCCACATACTCTGTTGTGTGGTTGTGTGCTAATGCATGCAATGCGATTGCTGAGTGATTTTTTCTAAATTTTTCATCCGTCTTCGTGGGATCAATCATTCTAACCTTCGCTAAATTCTTATATTCCAATAATCTCACTACTCCTAATTTACTAGTTTGAACTATTTAGTTCACCTCACTCACAGTCGTTGCAGAGTATTTTGTAAATTATATTGTTTTGTTTAATTGGGTCCACCGGGACTTTTAATCTACAGAGCTTGAACTGTGTGAGTGAGTTTGTAGGAGGGTTTAAATGTCACCCTAATTCCTGATTTATTAAAAATCCTACGCAGTGGGTTTCAGATGTTCCTCCTTATATGGTAAAACTGTAGATGCCTTATATTCTTTCTTTCTTATCTTATATTGATTTTATTCAAATGTTTAGTCATCAACTTTTACTCATGCATATAAACGAAGCAAGAAAATTGTGTGAGTGGTGCCTTGATATGATCACGATGAGCAGTAATCAATTTTTCTTGAAACGTGTTTCTCATCAGTAAATATCACTCACTGTATAACACCATTGTGTATGATTTTATCAAAATAAAATTTTGGCCATAATGGAATTACATTTTGTATAGGTGGATAGTTGATATGTTATCACTTAAGAACACGGTATTCAGTGATGGGACTCTTTTCAATAAAGAAGATAAGCCTGCTCTTCTGGTCGCCTCTATGTGCCCCATATCAGTTAAGCTGCTGTTGTCGAGCAAGGTACATCGGTTGTAGCAGTACGAATATGACAACACATTCCAGTGCGGTTTTACAATAGAGAGAGGAATATTGTGTCTAAGATATTACATTCTAGAATGAATACCTCATCGATTTCTGTCATTCACTCAATCAACCCTGATCATGATTTTAGCATCATCTATCAAATTCATGCCAGCGTGTCATGTTTTGTTCTTTCCAAAGTTCTAAAGATGGTGGAAGTTTTGGGTATTCATTCATCAACTCACAACATACCTCTGCGTTAAAAAAAGTATTTAGTGTCCATATTTCTACCTTGTTCGTAGAATAGTAAGGAGAGGTAAACATTTATTTATTTTCCTTTTGTTTTGAACAATTTCTGATAATATTTCACTTGTTCCACTTATGATTTTAAATCAATATAATTCATACAACTAGTGTTATGTATCTATTCCTTTCTTTGGGACAGACTGAATTCTATCAGTCAGTTAAGTTTGCAATGTGGCCAGCATTCTAGGCGGCTCATCATCACGGTGCTTTTTGAATTTTTGATACTGAATGGTCGAAGAAAATCAGCAGGAAGCCCTGGACCTAGGTTTCGTGCTAGTTGACCGCTTCACTTATTTGGGAACTTGCATCAGCCAAGGACAGCGGGCTGATTGCTGACAAAATTTCGGCACGGATATAGAAGGCTTGTTTCGCATACACCAGTTTACGCCGCCTTTGTTGTAGACGTGATATCCGGCTGGCTGTCGACCAAAGGGCGTGTGTACTGCTCATCAGTTCGCTTCGTCCTCCTTTATGGTTGTGAGACCTGGCCATCGTAAGTGGAACAAATGAAAAGCCTGGCTCACTTTCTTTGTCCGTAGGTGCCTGCGTTCTCTCTCTCGTGTTAGGTGGTGGTATAATAAGGTGAGCAATACTGAGGTGGGGCATCAGTCGAGTGCTAGGTAGGTGGGAGCGGAAATCAATCAACGAGTCTGTGAAGTTAAATTGATTGAGATGGTTAGGACATGTGCTACGTATGCCTATCCATCGCTTTCCTGGACAACGGGCAATATTAGCTGACATAAGATGGATCAGGTTGGAAAAGAGTTAGCACATGGTGGTCAGACCAAAACATGGCTTCATCAGTCAATGAAAAGCACAAGTTATTTTAAGCCAGCCAGCCACGTATGAAGGTGTCGACTTCCTGGCTGGGGTCCTCGGGACAGTTAAAGCCAATGAAGGCTGGATACAATTGGTGATGTGCCTCAAAATCATTCTCGGTGACTGGCGCAGATGCATCCACTCCTTGTATCTTATAATATCCAATAGAACTATATGGTTCTTCGATATTACTATTCCCTTTCGTCATATCTCTGTTTACTGTCTCTGTTTTGCATTTCTCTTTTTTACTTTCTTCTGTTGCTTTGTGTGCTACATTGAGGAAGTGTGGCGACTCGAACTACTGCATATCAGTGCAAAGTTCTATGTTGAAATCAGTCAGTCAGGCAGTCAGGTTGCCTCCGACCATGTAATACCAAAAATTTACAGTGCACTGTGACGGCAAGCCACCTAGTGGCATATGGTGGCCACATTGCAAACTTGACTGACTGGTAGAATTCAGTCTACATCAAACAAAGGATTAGAGACATTACCCTATTTACCAACGGGTGTCCAAACAAAAGAATGCAGTACACTGCTACCAAAGCCATAAAGCAATAGCTTTAGGCCCTATTTTCCTATGGGAACAGAAAGGAATAAAAAGGTAGAACGAAGCTGTTGTCCCCATGGTACCTAGATTTCATTAAGTTAATAGATGATGTTGTCTTTTGAATAGATCTGAAGGAAATCCCTTCTTACATCTATACTGTAACGGCAGAAGGCAAGACACGGAAGCCAAGGTAAATTTTCTTCAAGTGATCAAACCGCTATTTATATATCTATACAGTTTATATTCTTTAACCAATTACTGAGTGTGTAAGATTTTGGTTTACATTAAACGACGTGAAATAGAATGTTCAAATACACATATAGTATTCTGTCGTTAATGCAGTATTGAACTGTGGGAATAGTATTCAGACGTTAACACCGACAAATACAATGGTTCTTACTGTAAGAATAATTTTCCATTGGAACCCACTGTCTATATCACACTCCCACAGTATTAGTCAGCATATTTTCAACTATAGCCGGCAGAAATGAGAATGACAAAGTCGGCCAGGATCAAAAACAGCAAGATAGAAGACCTTCGTGAATATGAAATCATTACGGAAATCTCCTGCGCTCAGCATAAGGGACAAGATTCGGATTTCCAGCAATAATGTCAAGTCACTATGGTTACATATAGTTCAGAGACTTGGCGTGTGAATCACGGTTGGAAAAGATAAACGAGGATAGTCTCTGTCAGCGAATCAGTCAAGAATCCCTATGGAATGGACATACACTGAGAAGTCTATTGAGTAAGATCATACGCCAGGTAGACCTTTGAGTGTAACCTCAAGTGAGAAACGATTACCTTGGTGTGCATCTTAGTGTGACATGGTCAATATTGTAAAGCCAGCTATGGAAGGCTAAAAAGACACAGAGTGAAGTTAAGATGTGCTGAGGAATGCGTATATTGCACACGAAACCCAAGAGAGTAATAATAGTGATAGTAATAGCAAAGAGGATAGAACTTTCATCCAATGAAGTATAACAATATATAGTTTTAAAAAAGAGTTAAGTTAGGCAACCAAGGTAAACATAGATGGAACACTTACTTTGTTCTGTTTTTGTTTCTTCTGTACGATGACGAGTTCTAGAATCTTGATGAACTGTTGAAATGGAAAATAATACACATATATCTATATAAGAGGAAGAATATTAGTGATGATCAGAAAACGTGAGAGTGCAGTGAAGTAAGATTGATAATTTAGGTTGATCTTTTCAAAGATATTTAATTTCTCACTCAGTACTCCTTCTGATGATTGTATTTCTCATTAGAACTGATTTGCTACATATCGACACTTCACTCCACAATAAAATATATTTCGGTTGGTTTTGAATGTTTCTCCTCGTTCTCAGGTAAACTGAAGTCGACAGACTGTTGGTGAACTCATTCGCAAGCCAGCAAAAAGGTTGTCCAATTTTAGACTGTCTTGATACAGCTAACAAGCAGTACTCGTCTACTTACGGGGGTTTCCGCCTACTCATATTACTCCACAGTATATACCACCAAAAAGAGCACTAACCGGGAGAATGATTCACAACATCTCAGGCAGCAAAGAAAAGACGAAATGAATACAGGAGTGAGTTTCACTCCCAGAAAGTGCAACCACAAATAATGTCAAAGGTGAATTCTGGATCTTAGCCTTCTTCTTACTATTTACTTATATACCACTGTTTATGCGAATCATTTTAATGTTCTTTAAGCTTGATGACGTCTTCAGGACATACTTCATTAAGAAGTTTGACATATTTGCTAGTTTCATGAATATTTACGTATAATTTTTTCCTCTTCTCTTGGTTCACTTGTGAATGAAGTAAGAGGTTTAATTGAATTTTAGATTTTCCCGTCCACTGATTGATTGGACCGAACTGCTCTTTCTCAGGTTGACATGTCGGCTTTTTGTGCAGATGCTTGGACGATGTCTGGGTATTTAGTTAGAGGTTAATTGGTGGATGGTGATTAGCAGTGGAATCGACCGTGGATGCGCATTTCGTCTTATTTGGGACTCATCAGCTACTGGATATACCTTCATTTCTCAGTGAGTGATGATGCCTTCACCAAGGCTCGAACTATGGGCATGGTGTATTGGACAGCTATTTTGTCAGCCCACTTTAGGACTCCTCCTCAGTACGCATGGACTTCCACGGTCAGAACCCAGGACCTTCCGGTTACAAGGCCAGTGAACTCTTAGAAAATTCAGTCACTGAAACTCGATCCAATGGCCAGGCCATGAACTCTAACTTCTGCCAGTTCATGATATGGCGCGATTGGCACTAGCGAATGTCATCGCTGGCGAGTATTTGTCCTCATACCTAACCAGCTGTGCCCTACTGGTCATGGCTTCCCACTAGAACCCCAGGTAACTACCTACCTGAATAGGGTCAGTGAGCATTTCAATGATATTTAAGTGTTGCTTTGCTTGGATTTTACTGATCCCTACAAAGCAATACTTGAAATGTTATTTTCACGGAAAATACCCATCCAGACATGAATATACGAACGAAAGTTCAGTGAAGAGTCTCTTTTCTGCGGCGAATTCATTCACTTGGCTGTACAATCGCATTTATATATAATTATTTTGTGTGTGTGTATGTGTGTACATTAGGACTGTCAAACAAAAATAAAAATTCGTGATTTTAGCGCAACCACTAACCAATGTCATCGGCGGGAAATCCATCCTCACTCCTGACTGGATGGAACTTACTAGTTACGACTTCGCACTAGAACGCAGGCAACTACCTATCTGAATTGAACCAGTATCTAGTGAGCATCAGGTTGATGTTTAAGTGTTGGTTTGTAGGGATTTTATCGGTTTCAGGATTTTATAATGAACTGATATTAGTTAGTAGGAAGTCGTGACCAATAGGGTGTGAGGAAAAATACTCGCCAGTGATGACATTCGCTTGTGCGAGTCGAGCCACATCATGCACTGGCAGAAGTTGGAATTCATGGAATTGCCATTGGGTCGGCTCCCAGTGGCAGAATGGTCTACGACCTCGCTAGCCTTATAACCAGAAGGTCCTGGGTTCAAACCGTGGTAGTGGGTGCGTACTGCTGAGGATTCCCAAACTAGGCCGACGGAACAGCTGTCCAGTACTCCTTGTGCTGGATTTCCAATGGTTTTCTAACTGATGTCAGTTCATAATGATATTCAGGATTATTTTAGAAAGGCTGTATCAAAGTTACGTATTCAGGTTTATTTTGATTTTAGTGCATATTGTATCTAACTATTTATCAGATAGATAATATACTAATCGGTACATTAGAGAAAGAGGAAGAAATTCAGGTATTAGGATAGTATTATTGATTTTTGGTGTGCTTTTTTCAAATAAAAAGTACTGATTACCTGCGCCAAACAACTAGCTATCCAACTATCCTACTGTGCAAGTAGGCGTATCGTTTAAAGTACAGTACGGAGAAAAACGCACACATCATATTCTCGTAGTGCTTTTGATTTAAATTTAAACACATCATAAGCCAATGTATATATAAATCGAAGGGATAAGTATGTGCTTTAATCGATACTTTTCAGTTTTAAAATTGATTGAAAAATCCAGCTGATAGTACACATTTTTTATATATTTTTGTTTCTTTATAATACTAACTGCTATTTCTAATCACTTCACAGATTATTGATTGATTTGAGACAAGGTGATAGAAAGACAGATTAATTATCGTGTTAATTTTGCCATTTTATGACTCACTGGCCTAGCGGGTACCTCTTTTTAATGATTTTCAGCGGTTCACTATTATTATTATTATAATTCCCTTGAATTTCGAGTGAAACATAGGGCTTCAGAAGCACATCTCCTCCTCAGACGATCTCCTCCATGTCACCCTTGCATTGACCACCCACTCGTAGCTCCCCATTCGGATTCCACTCGAGTGAAGGACTGCATTGTGCGCGATGTCATTCGACGGCCTCCTCAGGGGCGTACACCCGATCCATCTTCATTTTCTCCTACATATTTTGTTGAGCGATCGGTTCTTGCCTGTTGGTTTGTTCCCAGCAGGAGTTTCTTGTTACTTATTCTTTCTCGCCATTTGACCTTCAGAGTGGAGCCAGAGAAGGTGGCAGCTATTGATTAAAGTCTGTAACCTGTTGGAAATGCTTTTGTGACGCACAGGGTAAGCTTCTGACCCGTATAGAAGGACTGACAAACTTGACATTGGTGTTGAAAATCCGAATATTGTTCCTTATGTTGAGTGTACAAGATTTCCGAATTTGTTTCGGGTTGATGAAGTCGTATCCTGCCTTCCCGATTCTGACTTTGTTACCTTCATCCCTTTCGCCTGTAGTTGAAATGATGTTTCCCGGATAAAAGAAGGAAGTAACCTCCACTAAATCTCTCCCGTTGATGGTGATTACTGCTGGTTGTTGTTGCTGCTGTTGGCTGGTTATCTTCATCACCTCCATCTTCTATATGTTCACATGGAATCCTGTTTTCGCCGTCTGCTTCTTCAGCCAGTTTGATGGTTTTCGCCTGTTAGTCATCGAGTTTATGTGACATTAGACATATATCATCTGCAAAATCCAGATCTTCTAGTGTCTTCTTATCGGTGGTCCAGCGTACTCCTGTCTCCTCTCTCCCCACTGTCTGACGTAATGGTTCCCTTAATGGTATTAATCCGTGACCAAACTTGAAACACACCAAAATCCCTACAAATCCAACTATTGAAGCAATTAATCTGATATTCGCTAGTGACTGACTGAAAGACTAAGTTACCTAGAGTTCTAGTGAGAAATCGTGACCAGTGAGGTCCAGCTGGTCAGGAGTGAGGAAAAATACTCGCTAAGGATGACATTGGTTGGTGGTTATGATAAAATCATGAATCAATAAAAGATCGAATTCATGAACCATTGAATCAGGTCCCATTGGCTGAATGGTCTATGCACCTGTCATATAACAGGAAGGTCCTGTGTTTGAATCCTCATAGTGAGAAGTCGTGACCATGGAGGTCCATCCAGCGGGGAGTGAGGTTGGGTTGCCAGCCGATGACATTGGTTGGTGGTCGCGCTAAATCACGAATTGGTAGAAGTTATAATTCATGGGTCATTGAACTGGGTTCCAGTGGCTGAATGGTATACAAGCTTGCCTTGTAACCAGAAAGTCCTGGGTTGGAACCCCGCTGGTGGGTGAGGAGTGCCGATGATTCCCAAACTAGGATGAAACAGCTATCCAGTACTCCATGGGGTGGTTTTCAATTGTTCTCTAACTGACATTAATCCGTGGTCAAATTCGTGAAAACTACGATTTTGTTTGAGTGAATCAAGGTCATTTCGACTTTGGAATGTCTTCGGGAAACTTTTGGTGCGTGATTCTTGCCGACAGTTTTGATCCCGCCTTGTTGGGAATATTCTTCTGGATACTCAGGTACTTTTTACAATTGATTTTGATTAACATGTTCTGTTGTATAGTATTTGTTTTGTTGCTGAGGACTAATTTCATCTGTATAGCTGCCTAACGACGTTGTTGAGATAAATTTACGTTTGGATAAATTATGACTGTTGAATAGTACTGTATATTTTATCGCCAATAACTGTTGTGAGTGTGTATAAGTCAAGAAAGTTCTAGTTAAACTGCTTGATATACAGTAGAACACAAAGATCAGTTCCATCAATTCTTTCCACACCACACGTTGGTTTTTCAGGACTACATTTTGATGGCATCTTTTGGTGGAATGACTAAAAATGTTAACTAATGCCTTTTCTTTAATTCAATTTATATTCTTCCGTCGACTGCTTGGAGTGAAGTGCTCAGTCTCAGGTTGACATGTCACCTACTTGTGCATTTGCTTCGACCATGTTAGATCATGTAAATTGAAGTCAGGTAGGTGGTTACCTGAGGTTATAGTGGAATTCGTGGCCAATAGGGTGCAGCAGGTCGAGTTTGAGGACAAATACTAGCCAGCGATGACATTTTCTAGTGCCAGTCGAGCTACATCATGAATTGGCTGGAGTTGGAATCCATGGGCTAGTCATTGTATATGGTCTCAGTGGCTTAATGGTTTACGAGTTCACTAGCCTAGTAACCAGAAGGTCCTAGGCTGGAACTTCAGCAGATGTGTACTGTTGAATGGTCCCAAACTAGGACGAGAGAGCTTTCCAGTATTCTGTGCTGGTTTTCAAATGGTTCTCTAACCGATGTCAGCTCATAATGAAATCCTGTCACAAATCAATGAAATCCTTACAAACCAATACCTGAATAACTTGAAGTCAATTGGTGAATGGTGACTCGCCTCGGTGGGAACACCATCACTCCCTGGAGGAATGTAAGTACATCCACTGGCTGACGAGTCCCAAATAGGACGAAACGCGCGTTGTGAGGGTCACCATCCACCAAATGACTTTATGCTTTTTCTGTTAGAAAAAATATTTGAATTTCTTATGACAACAGTGAAACTACTAAGTAAAAGGAGATTAGTTTCATAAAATCTTCAAAGGATGCGATTCAAACGACAAACACAAGTTGAACACTTACATATTGTACTGTCATTACTTCTGGATTCCCGATTAACATTCGGTTTAACTAAATCAACAACAACAAAAAACGTTGGAGAAATGAAAAACCAAAGAATTAAATTCGGATGAACAAAAAAGAAAAAAAAACAGAGCAAACCAAAAAGATGATTTTGAATGAATAAATGTGTGTTGTGTTCGCTGCCTGAACTGCCTCTTGAGTCAGACACTTAACTAATCTTGCCTTCACAGGCAGATAACGGATGAGGTGATGAATTAAAGTCTAAATATCTATTAGCAGAATGCGTTGGCTTTGTTTTCATAAACGCTAGTGTGCAGTTAACCTTCTAATTCTGCTTGTTCATTTGCTGATCCAAATGTGAATTTTATTCCCTTTACTAGTGAGTTTATATGTGTGGGGAGAAGCTAGAGAGAGATATGTTCTGTATTCAACACTGTGAAAGTGTCATCCACATATCTCCACCATATTTTTGGAGTAGGGTTAAACGTATTAAGGACCATATTTTCCTAGCTGTCCATAAATATATCTGCTACGATAGGGGATATTGGGGATCCCATTGTTACACCTTCTGTTTGTCTATATATGGAAATATGGAAAATACCACTACCAATCATCAAATCAAGTGATCGAAAATTATGGGATTATATAAACGAAGTTAGAAAATTGTGTGATTAATGCCTTGATATGATTATGAGCAGTAATAAGTTGTGCTTGAAACATGGTCATCAGTGAATATTACTGTATAACAGTCTGTGAGACTTTATCAAAGTAAATTTTACCCACAATTGGGATTTTACTCTACCACAGTGGACAAGTTTTATTCTTATATCAATAGACGCATGATACTAGTCCAAACAAAGTACAGTCCTACAAGAGGTTAACCGTGGGCCTGAATAGCTCAGTGATAAGGTCTCTGACTGTAAGCCGCACTGGGTGACACGAGTTCGAATCTCAAGAAGGAAATGAGGTCCTTCAAGTTTGTAGATACACCTTGCTGACTGACTGATGAGTGCTAACAAGCACGAAAGCTAAGCCAGGCAGGGTTTCCTGCCGATCGCCTTCAACCATATAAAAGCAACAATTTTGAGATAGTGAATAGGATTTTGGTACCTTAGATGGATACTTTTGGTATTGTTGCCTTCTCTGAATTGAGTCATCTATTGAAAGTGAGGAGGATTTATCTTGTCCTTCTCAACAACATCTTCATCGCTAACTTCAATGTGATCTAGAATTATATGAAATCGTCAACTTTTTAACTTTTCTATCAAACAGAACAAAATATTCAATTCAACTTACTTCTTCTCGTTTTACGTCGAACCACTCTTACTTCTGTATTACCTTCACCGCATATATGTTCTTCAACTTCATCGACTGTAGCATTCTGATTTAAATCTGTATATGATCTTGTCCGTGTTGTTACATGCTGTAATTCTCCAGTAATTGGATCTATACGTGTAGATGTTGTTGTACCATTACCGAATTGTCCAGATGATTGGGTTTTCAAAGAGCTACGATTCAGGCCAGGTGAAGCAGATCGACCACTGATACGCATGATTGGTGAACGTAATGGACGTGGCGGGAGACCAGTCTGTCTTGAATGCTGTCGTAAATATCCATCATCGTCATGATGAATACGTTTTATAGTCATATTTCTTTCTAGTGTTGGACTACACGGTGAACTGTGTATCATCCGTGAAGAGAATGATGGTTGTTCAGAGTATATTGGTCCTGCTGCTGCTGCTGCTGATGTTAGTGGACCTGAGGCTACTCTCACTTGGACTGGTTGTTTTAATGGTTTCATTACAGGAGAATGATCAATTTTAATCTCACTGTGTAGCACTTCATCATTTTTGCGTTTAATCCAACTTGATTCTTTATCCAATAATAATGGATCACTCGATGGTTTCATTACTTGGTGTAAAGGTTCGCTGAATTTACTTGGTAGATTCGTTGTTGTTGTTGTATTAGTGGTGGTATGATTAAACTTTTCAATATCAGGTAATATTGTCTTTGTTGTCATTGCTGAATATGCCGCCACTTTTTGTGGTACATCGATAAAATCTTCAACAGCATGATGATGACCTATTGAAATGTTTGTACTGTGTGTATTCCTTTTCAATAGATCATTGTGTGATTCTAAAATTGGATCAACAAAAGATAGAATATTGGAAATCAATACTTGAAAATAAATTATCAATTATTTTGCAAAAAAAAGTTTAAGTCATTATTAAGTGAAGGTTTGAAAATCATGGAGTATTGGACAGTTGTTTCGTCTCATTTTGGGACTCCTCATCTGTACGCTTCTACTTCTAGATCTTCTGAAAGGAACTTTCTCCCGAAATAAATAACCACCAGGATTTTTTGATGAAAATATCAAACTAAACTTTCAAACGAATTTGGCGTTACTTGTTTCAAAAGAGAAATTTTAAGTGAGCATGGATTTCTGGGGAGATTCAACCTCCGATATTATTAGGAGAAGAATTCCAGCATCTTTAAAAAGAACATTCTTTGTGGTAACGCTAAGAATAGTGTCCTTCAGTCGTCTATTGGTCTGCAGAAGACCTAAGGACAAGATCTCTAGCATCTGACCACTTCTATGCGAATATATCAGTTCATCTAATTCAATTTTTTAGATTTCCTCGTCGACTGATTGGACTGAAGTGCTGGGTCTCAGGTTGATATGTCGGCTTCTCGTGCAGAGGCTTCGACGATGTCTGGGCATGTAATTAGAAGTTAATTGGTGGATGGTGACTAGCAGTGGAATCCAAGATAACGAGCTTTTCGTCCTATTTGGGACTCGTCATCTGTATGAACCTGCCTTGAGCCTCGGTGGGAACATCATCACTCAATACGGAATGCAGGCACATCCAGATGACGAGTCCTAAATAGGATGAAATGCGCATCACCAATTTCTTCTATCCACGATTGGCTAAACTCTCCCATCTCTTCCTCACACGATCGCCTCTATGTCACCCTCGCATTGACAACCCACTCATCGCTTCCCATTTAGATTCCACTCGAGAGTGTGCCTGGCGTGCGCTAACATTCGACGGCCTCCTCAACATATGTGGTAATGGCGATAGATCATTCCTATTGAATGTGTTTGGTATACATTCAATGAATGGTTTTGCTACAGAAGTAGGGGGGGGGGGGAGAATCTGAAACTCTAACCAAGGATTCTAAATAAAACAGAATTTAGCATAACATTTAAACCTACAAACTCACTCAGGGATAAGCAGTTAAGCAAAATAGTTAAACCGACAAAATAACTTGCTAGGACTAAGAGGTCGACTACAAAGCCCACACCAGTAGATCCCGGGGGAAGTTAGATCACCAAAACATTCATCACTAATTTAGCTAAGTATAGAGTGATTAGACTGACAGAGAAACTCCACACTTGCAGTACATGCATTAACACACAATCACACAACAGGGTGAAACAGACCAACATTTCTAAAATGTAATATTGGTAAGTAGAGTGAGTGTTTCATCGCCAAGTCTTTATTCATCATATCTAAACCAATTCGATTGACCTACTTAATTGATTTTTATTAATTAAAGCTTGGAATGATGGCTTAATAAGAAAGTTCATTCCACTGTAAAAAAAAATGTCTGTTATGTATGAACTTACAATAATCTAATTATAAATAACGAATTAATCAATTTCTAAATATTCTTTATTAATTTGTGATAAAAATGTAACTTTGAAACATTTATTTAACTTGTTCTTTTGTATGGTAGTTGCAATCAGTGGTATCTATAACACACATTTCGTTCTACTTGGCACTCATCAGCTGAATATTTATGCTTTTAGAGAAAATACAATGTGTATCATGGATTTCACAGCTGGTAACCATCGAAGAAGTAACATGGAGTTACCAAAAATAATAAATAATTAATAAAATAATTGTGAAACTAGTAATGATAACATAAATAAGACAGAATACAAGTCATCCACTGTTACACCGTATTAGAAGGGGAAATCTGAGACCCTACGTAGGATTCTTAATAAAACAGGAATAAGGGTAGCATTTAAACCCTCCTACAAACTCACTCAGGTAGGACAAGCTCTGTAGGTTAAAGGAACCAGTTGACCCAATCATACAAAATAATGTAATTTACAAAATACCTTGCAATGACTGTGAGGGAGATGAACTATGTTGCTCAAACTGGTAGGTCGAGGGTAGTCAGATTGTCGGAACATAAGAATTTAGTGGCTAAGGTAAGAATGGTTGACCCCGAGAAGATGAGTAATTTAGATAAAAGCTCAGCTATTGCACTTCACTCATTAACATACAACGACACAATAGGATGGGAGAGGGTTAAAATTCTAAGAAGTAATATAAGTAGGTGGAGATAGAAACAGAGGTTGATTACTGAATCCTGGTTCACTGAATAATCTACACCCAACACATGCAACAGAAATGACTCAATGCAAATACCAGAGATATGTATGGAAGATATTATTACCACCAGTCAGTCAGATCAGAAGAGGACAATAAATAATCTCAAAATAATATTTCAATTCAAGCACATCACAGCATTCTAACAAGTTACTCACTTATTATGACTATAAAAACACTCGTTTCATTTCCCATCTGATTGTAATTGATCAATAACATTCGTATTATTATTTCTAAATGTACATTGTCCTATATCGACTTTCATTCCAATATCTAGTCAATTTCACTCATGTTTATAAATGAAGGAAAAGGTTCTGTGAGTAACTTGATATGATTATAAGCAATAATTTGTGATCGAAACGTCATCAGTTAATATTACTGTATAACACAACACTGTGTGATTTATCGAAATAAAATCTTATCTATAATGGAGTTATACTCTACCATAGTGCCCAAGTTTTATACTTATATCAATAATACATATAGAGTTTCCAATCTTGGAAATACTAATGCATTCCTTTAGTGATCCATGTATCAAAATGAGAGTGACTAGTTTGTTAGATGTTAGATGTATCACACAGTGAAACAGTATTATTTACTGGATGATGTTTCGAACAAAATTTATTGACCTCGGAAACCTTACGCAGTATTCTTAACAAGGCGGGCAGGAATGAAAGTGGCTGGCATTCAAACCACCCAAAAACTCAATTAGAAACATGCTTTGTCGGTTAAAGGATCAATCCTGTGGAGCCGTTAAAACAAAACAATTTAGTTTATCTAATACCCTATCTGCAATGATTGTCAGGTCAAATACATAAGTGAAAGTAGTAGAACAGGGGCAGTCAGTCAGACTAGTGGAGCGCAAAAACCTAGTAGCAAAATCTAGATTAATTGACCCGAATAAGATAAGTAATCTAGAGAATAGTTCAGCTACAGCACTACATGCAATCACATGCAACCACAGAATATGGGATGGGATAAGATGACAGCTTTAAAATCTAATGTAACAGCGCGGTGGAGGGAGCAGGATTGATAACGGAAGCTTTGTTTATCGAATCAACTGCAAACACGCAACAAGAATGATTGAACACCTTTCTAGCCAGACATCTGGAGAATCCTCCTACCCCTACCTACGACGACGAATAGGAAAGAATAAAGGAAACTACAAAACTCAAGTTTCGAAGTCGTGTGATTATAATTGAAGATATGATCATGAACACTGATGAATCGTGTTCGAAAATTCGTCATCCAGTAAATAATACTGTTTCAATGACTGTGTGATATATCTGATAAACAAATTAATATGGAATCACATACTACCACACCATTGTGCCCAAGTTTTACACATACATTACTAGTGCCTAGTTTGACCCACATACATCATCAGGATCTTACAAGTATGAGTAAACAATTTCAGTTCTTTTTGTTAAGAATTACTCAACAAATATCCAGTAATCTAAGGCAAATTGTGAGTTTAATATCTTACTCAGCAGCCAAGTATTTAACTTCACTACTGAAACAGCTTTGTTGGTTGTCTCATATGATTGTTGATTTTAAGAAAATCTGTCATCTGACTTATTACATAATGGGGTTGAGACATTCTGGCGCAATTCAACCTCTTCTATTGCAATTTATGAAATCGTGTATCCTACCCATTCGTATTTATTGTTCCCTCCTGTTTTCCATGGACTTCTCAAGAAAGACTATGTCATATTTGCGTAGAATATTGTAGGCTGTAAGCAAAGTTAGTGGTGTGTGTCGTTTTGACTCAACTAGCTGACATTATTGGTGGTTGATAGGCATTTGATTTCTAGCGAGCAGTTAACTTAAGTCATCTTTTCACATACCGAACATCCTCTTTAGTTGTGGTCAACGTTTCCATTGTATCTTTATGGGTAAAACCGGAAGAGATACTTCATAAGAATCAATGCTCGCACAACTAAATATATATAAAAATCCTACCATACCATATTAAGCGCGGGGTTTGTGTCAAAAGAAAAATATCAGAAAGCAGCTTTGTAAACCTATTTAGTAATCTGCAAATAAAGAGCAAATTATAACCAGCCTTATTATTATTATTAATACATATATTCTTCTTCTAATAAGCTTCAAATTTTGTAGTCCTATTATCTTCACTATTTTATCGTGTTGAATTAGCTGTGTTCTCTGAGGACTTGGTTGATTTAATCGTGAATCCTCCGTCTTCCCGCTTCTAGACAACCTCTTCAGTGCAGGTTTTAGTTTGAGACCACTAAAGAAGCGGAATGACGCAGGCTTCTCAATCCACTCAACCAGCTCCTCAGAGAGTGCAACTAATTCAGTATCATCCACCTAAGCTACAAATCTTCTCCATAATTGTGTGGATTTATATATTTATCCAAGGGGATAAACTGTCGCAAATGTTCAAGCTCTCAAATTCCCATTCTGCGTAATTACTATCTTTTTCAATATAAACCACGGAGAAATGTGGTTTACCTGTGAAGCTCTTATTGCCTTCTTTTTTTTCCTTCACGTTCCCCAGTGGAACATAGGACTTCAAGCTAGTGGCTTGAAGTTTCTGTAGCAGTGTTTATTTTACAGGATGGGGTTGCTAGCCTCATGTCCAACCTTTCCTCTTCACCAGCATTATTTCTGGGTTAGCGAGGTAAAGGAGTGCGTCCGTGGCCGGGGATCGAACCCTGGACCATGCGCATGGTTGGCGAGCGTCCTAACCTTCAGTGCATATTTCTCCAT